TATACAATGAAGTCTAGACTATGAAAGTGTGCAATATGGCACCTTTAGGAATAAGTGACAAATCTATGAATGAATAATGAATCTGAATAAGTTTCCTGTGTGTTCACAGGTGAAGCTAGTGTCAGCACCCTGGAGTCCTTCCCTGCTGAGCCTGTGAGAGAGCAACAGCCAGTCCCCAGCACCACCACCACCTCCTCCCTGGGCCCACGTCTTCCCCAATCCCCCCGGAGACCACATCACACCCCACCCCCACGCCTCAACATCCACCCTGTCCCTGAACTTGGACCCCCCATCATGCAGGTATATAGACCATGTCCTGTATTCGAAAGCAGCTCAAAGCTCAGAGTTCTGATTTGTTTCTACAAATTCTGACTCTACTATTCTGGACAGAGGCAGTCAGGACAGAGCAGACGGCCCTCGATGAGTCGTGCACCCCAGCTCACGCCTGGAATCGGAAGCATGGTGAGTGAACTTTTTGTTTAACCAATATAAACATACTGTGTCTTTAGTGCTTCGTTATTTCTGACAGAGTATTTTGGTTCCTTCAGCAACACTTCTTTGATGATGATGACAGAATGGTTCCTAGCACTCCCACCCTCGTCGTGCCACACCGCACAGATGGCTTTGCCGAGGCCATTCAGTGAGTCACAGCAGCTTTTACTTTTTTATAGCACGGAGGGATACATCATTAAACACCTTGATTAATGATGCATCCCTCCATCTCAGTTCCCCCCAGGTGGCCGGAGTTCCTCGCTTCCGTTTCGGCCCTCCTGAGGATATGATGCCCCAGGCCAGCTCCTCTCATTCTGACTTGAGCCATCTGGCCACACATGGAGGTGAGTACAAACACAACACAGTAATGCTGCTTTTACATTGTTTCCGAATGACCTTGATTACATGATGGCAACCTAGAGCCATTCATGTCCTTTGTATGCAAGCATTAGTTTCTTTGGCAACACTGAACAATATTTTTACAGTATTCATTACTATATCATTTTTCATTTAGTAATGCACTACTTTTAAATAGTTTGTGGTTGGTACAGTTTTGGAATATTTTTGAGGAAAGTCTCTTCTACTCACCAAGGCTGCATTTATTGGATCAAAAATATAGTAAAACCATAATATTGTGAAATAATTATTAAAATAGAAAATATTTTACTGATATTTTCAATTGTTAATTTTATTATTTTAAATTGTAATATATATTTTAGAAAGTAATTTATTCCTGTGATGGCAAAGTTGAAAACTCCAGTCTTCAGTGTCACATGATCCTTCAGAAATTATTCTAATATGCTGATTTGGTGCTCAAGAAACATGTCTTATCCTTGTGGTTTTGCTTCATAATATTTTTGTGGCAACTGTGATGCATTTTAAGGATTCTTTAAAGAATGGAATGTTTTGAAAAATACAGCATTTATTTGAGATATTCTGCAGCATTATAAATGTCTTTTACCGTCACTTTTCAAACCTTACTAAGCCCAAACTTTTAAATGGTAGTGTACATTTTAACATTCAATAAGCTGTACACATTTTTTTAATGCATTGTTAACAAACATATGTTAATCAAATTAGTTAAACTATATAAATTACGATGCATTTCTAATTAAAAAATCCAATACTATTTTGTCTAAACTAAAACAAACTAAAAATTAATCATTTAAAATATTGCATGACTATCCATGTAATATGTATTTTAAGAAAAAAAACTAAATTTATATGACTGTAATTCAATTATTATTAGTGTTTTTAAATAAGTTAAGTGAGGGTTAGATCATTGTTAAAAAGATGGAAATGGGGGGAAATGAGCATGCAAAATTAAATATTCACTGTCGTTAGATACGATAAATTTAAATAATCTTGTTCATTGTCTGACCTCTAGTGTTACTGGAATGCTCATAATGCTAAATAAATCCGTGTACATTTTGATGATGGCAGCAAAGTATTAAATTGCTTAATTTTGCATTTCAGATTGTCAATTGTAAAAAGTCAGCTTTCATAAAATTCAGTTTCCAACTTTTGTTTTTTTATTAGTTGAAAATTAATTGAATAAATTGTAATAATTCTAATAAATATTATAATTACTATGAACAAACATAGCATAATTCCTGACATTCTTCCTGTCATTTTGCAGGGTTGGGCATGTATGAAAGTCCTCTCTTCCTGCCCACTCATGATGAAGAGTCTGGAGGCCGGAGTGTCCCCACCACTCCTCTACAAGTGGCTGCTCCAGGTGATCAGCTGGAGGAAGTCACGTCAAGCTTGTTTGGTTGATATCTTTTAGTCAAACCTAACTGCTCTCCTCCTTTCGTTTGTGTTGCCAGTGACGGTTTTCACAGAGAGCCACCCCTCTGATGTGTCAGAGACAGCCTCTCAGTCGGTTCCCATGGTCAGCACGTCCACCGCCAGTCTGACCGCACCAGGAGAAGCTGTCCCAGGGGACGATGGAGATGATGTTTTTGTGGGGGAGGCTGAGAGTGAAGGGTGAGCACTCACAACAGTTTCGTGCTTCACTTCAGAGCGGCTCAGTTTTGTCAGCGGGTGTGATATGTGTGTGCAGGGCGGGTAGTGAGGCATGTCTAGAGGGCCAGTCGGAGCTGGAATCTGCACAGCCGAGCGATGATGCCAGCCTGCCCTCCACTAGTCAAGAGCCCACGTCCAGCTCTGCAGGTACATACCATTTACAGACTTGCCACTTTGATTTGTTTTTTGTTTTTTTCCTGTTTTTTCTTCTGGATCTGGTCATTTCAAAAATAGATTTAAAAATTAAATTTGACCTAATTCCGTCTAAATTAAAATTAATTTTCTTATTTTGTTGGGGTATAAAGTCCAAAATACATTGGTGTGATGCAACTATCATGACATCATTAAAGCTGCAGTCCGTAACTTTTTTGTTCAAAATTTATATAATAAGCGAGTACACCATGAATCCTTTTTCCAAACCGTGTTTTTGGCTTGTCCAGAATCACTACAGTACACCTATAATAAGTGTTTATATTCAGACTATTTAGACTGGTTCGGGTAGGTCCCGCTGTGGAGTAGCCCAGTACCTGCGTGATTCGTCATAGACATAAACAGAGAGAAGTAGCTCCGGCTACAATGTTCTTCCACAAGACGCACGCGGTTCTGTTTATTAACCGCTAGAGCGCCAAAAGTTACAGACTGCAGCTTTAACAAAACAAACCTAATTAAAAGAAGTTCTTGACGTAAAACCTTGAGTAGTTTAGAATGTTTAGTTAGTATTTTTGAAGCAAAGAACCTCTGTGTGTATGTATACACGCACACACGTACACACTGCCGTTCAAAGCGTTGGGATGAGTAATGTTTTTTTTAATGGAGTCTCTTATGCTCATCAAGGCTGTATTTCTATATTTTTCAATATAGCTGTGTTATAAACGGTGTTAAAGTATACAGTACCATTCAAACGTTTGGGTCAAAAATACAGAAATATTATTGCAATTTCTAATATTAACTTCCTATTTGAATATATTTTAAAATATGATTTATTTCTGTGACTCAGCACTAGATTTTATTGGTTAAGACACACCAATTTGCTATATCGAGCGACAAAACGAGCCGATTTGTACAACTAAAAATAGCTGGACGCAGATGAGACCAGAAGCCAGTCCCATAAAATTTACAAGTCAATGGCCATGCCCATTTTTACTGCAAGAATAAGCTGGATAAGTCATTACTATCACTTTTTATCCATTTAACACATCCTTGCTGAATAAAAGTATTCATTTAAAAAAAAAATAATAATTTACTGACCCCAAACTTTTAAATAGTAGTGTATATTGTGAGACAAAATTTCTATTTTGAATAAACAATGTTCTTTTCAACTTTTTATCAAAGAATCCTGAAAAAAGTTTCACAGGTTCCAAAAAATATTAAGTAGCAAAATTGTTTCCAACATTGTTTATAATTCAGCAGAATGATTAATAGTAATGACGCTGAATGAGTATTAATGACGCTGAAAATTCTGCTTTTTTTCACAGGAATAAATTATATTTTAAAGTATATTAAAATAGAAAACTCTTATTTTAATTTGCAATAATATTTCACAAAATTAGTTTTTTTTTTAGCTTTATTTTTTAAATGCAGCCTTGATGTGCATAAGAAACTTAAAACATTAAATATCTTACTGAAACTTCCCAAACTTTTGAACGGCACTGTATATGTATATGCACTTTTTAGATACTTAAAACTAATTTGAACTAAAAATTATTCTATTTAATTTAACATTTTTGTGTTGTTAGATTTACCACATTTAGTCATCAATTTTAGCTTTTTTTTAATTTTTTTTTTATAAATAATAAATGTTTTTTACACATATCAGATCAACATGAATACAAAGAGTACATTTTCCAAGAACTTGACACTTGTTCTTGTTCTTGTTCTTTATCATTGACACTTTTATTTGTCACTGACCCGTAATTATTTGACCCTGTTTATTTCTCTTCCTCTTTTTAGAGACGAGCACCAGTACTGGTCAGGCCAGACCTGCAAGCCGGCTCCTTCCTCAGCACCAGCCGCCCCGGAGGAACCAGATCATCAGGAGAGGTCGGGACCATCATCTGTTTCTACATCCATCCTCTTACTCGTACATAAACTCATTAGTCACACACATTCTCACAAAAAGTAACAACACAGACTGGATTTTAAAACTTTTCTGTTTTTAATGAAGCAAAGATTACTTGAAATGCATACAGAAGCTTTTCATTGGTCAGTTTGTGCTTGTTTGGATATTTGCTATCTGTTCTGTAGAAACAGATCAGGAATTTGGATGTCTACAAAGATCTTCAATGAAATTTGATTTGGCTTGTCTGGGCCTGTATCTTGTCCTGTAGGTGGTGTTTTTCCTCGTGGAGGTCGGTGTCGAGGACTTAACAGAGGCACTCCCTTCTAAATCCATCCCCCTTTACAGCGTCTGCCCAGCAGAAACACTGATCACGACTCTTCAAAGTACCCAGAATCAATCTACTGCTGATTTACTTTGTTCAATGTTTCGTTTCAATGTGCTTTAAAACACGGGTTAGATTTATTTGATATTTTGTGAGTAATCATACTGACGCTATGTTCAATGGTTTTGCTAATAAATGGAGAATCTTTCTCGCCATGCAGCTGCTGGTGGTGTTTGTTTCATGCACAGTTGAGCCACTTGCTGATGTCATTCTGCTGGGAGGAATGGCTGACAGGGGCCGTCAGAGCGGGCAGATCACCGCTAACCTTGATGTTTAGGACTTTAGCTGTTAATCACAGAGATGGTGTTATAAAATGCATCGCTTTAAAATGTACTGAGTCAAAGACATTTGAATCTTCTCACAAACGGTCTTCGCTTTTAATTACACAGGTAATACGAGTAGTGGTGCAAGATAAAATGTCACTTACGCCAAGAGAAAACAAAGTAATCGAAACCATCTGACTTCCTTGGGTTGGGCATGGCCAAGGCTGATGTCACAGGGGTGGGGAAGCCCTTCATTTTGAGGTTGATGTTGATCTCCCCTGACAACTGGATCCCTGTCAAATTAGAATAACTAAATAAATCACTTTTGTATCTTATTTTTATTATTAAAATCTTTTCCATTTAAAATAAAGCTGAAATAAAATATAAATATTAATGAAAGCTAAAAATATGAGAGCAAACTGAAAATAAAAGCAAGTTTGAATATGAATAAATGCTATAATCACATATGTGACCCTGGACCACAAAACCAGTCATAAGGGTAAATTTTGTGAAATTGAGACTTATACAAGCTTTCCATTGATGTATGGTTTGTTAGGATGGGACAATATTTGGCTGAGATACAACTATTTGAAAATCTGGAATCTGAGGGTGCAAAAATAAAAAAATAATCAAAATATTGAGAAAATCGCCTTTAAAGTTGTCCAACTTAAGTTCTTAGCAATGCATATTACTAATCAAAAATTAAGTTTTGATACATTTACGGTAGGACATTTACAAACTATCTTCATGGAACATGATCTTTACTTAATATCCTAATGATTTTTGGCATAAAAGAAAAATCGATAATTTTGACCCAAACCATGTATTATTGGTTATTGCTACAAATATACCCGTGCTTTTTATGACTGGTTTTGTGATCCAGGGACACATTTAAATAATACTAAAATTATATAATTGCTATAATTTGAAATACTCTTTTCAATGCATTACAAGCGTTTTCTTCGAGTACCTCAATTTAGCATAAAAACAATTCAGATTACCTGCTTTGCCATTTTTTGGAACTTTGTCTGAATTTTTGGATCTCCTTCCACTGCAAGTTGGTGCACTTCCAGGAGGAAAAGTTAATTTCTGAGCTCTGCCTCCTGATTAGAAAACACAAATTATGAATTTTCTCATGTTGGTCATTTCTAATTATTCGAACCAAACATAGGATACAGAGGGCTCCAGTCAGCACCTTTCTTGAAGAAGTACACAGACTCGGGTCTCTTTCTGGTGGCTGGGATTGGCAGAGCAGCTGTGATCTCACCGGTGAGCCCACCAAAGTCCTGGGACACAGATCTGGGATATCCAGGTTCCACAACACCGTTCTCCAAACTCCAGTAGTTGTCACCCTTAGTGAGAGAAAATGGACAATTCAGTGAATTTTCAAGGGTTGCAAACACATGGTTTTCTATGTTCTTCAGTACCTTGATGATGTAGGTCTTGCCCTGGCAGTTGCAGCGTGTGAAGGCCGTGTCGATGGGAGACGGGATGCCCAGTTCTTCAGTGATTCTACGAGCAGGGCCGGCTCTTCTAGTCTTGGGGTTCAGCAGCCAAAAGAAGTGACCTGAGATGGATAGCACTTTTCTTAATTAGTGATATTGGGGGAAAAAAAGCACTATATGCAACAGTACATCTATACAGAAGATGTACCTCTGAAAACTATGATGGAGTTGTTGGAGAGAGTTGCCATTCCATCAATGGCAAGGCCACTGCAGAGATCAGGGTTCGAGTTTGCATCTTAAAAAACAGAAATGAATGGTTCAAATACATTCAGATTTAATTTACACTTCTGGTCAAAAGTTTAATAATCAAGATTTTTTTATGTTTTTCAAAGAAGTCCCTTGTGCTCACCAAGGCTGCATTTATTTGGTTAAAATACAGTAAAAACAGCAATATTACAATTTAAAAGAACTGTTTGCTATTTAAATGCAATGTAAAATCTAATTTATTCCTGTGATGGAAAAGCTAAATTTTCAGCATCATTACTCCAGTCTTCAGTGTCACATGATCCTTCAGAAATCATTCTAATATGTTT